CCACAGGATACTAATCTGTATGTAGATAAAGTTATTAAAACTCCTGTGCTTGTGTATTTTGGGCATTTTAATCCTATTCCAGTTTCATGACCAAAGCCACCAGACACAACCACCCAGCACTTCCCAAGGGAACACTGTATTAAAATCCTTGTGCAGACAGATTCTCCTATGGTGAAATGCCACTGAAATGCCTGCCAGCAAAATTAGGCTGAACATACACAGCCTACTTGGAATTTTACTGTGCAGGCCTGTTGACATGGCAGACAGGTGCTCCAAACGAAAGCAAGGTCTCTCTGCATTGCTCTGTATGCAAACACAGAGATTGCCTCTTGTGTGGAAAGACTAGAAAAGTAATTAAGAATAGCTGGAGGAAGAACAGAAATACTAAGGATTAGGCTGGAGTCCCCAGAGTATTTTTGAATTCCCTAGTAATATACCAGAACGATAGTTTGTACCATACACATTAGTGAGAGGTGGAGTCTACATTTGCCTCTCAGCAGTTAAAGAGCTCACAGACCACCTATATTGCTATGGGGTCACTAAATCCTAAACACAAACCAGCTCACTGAGGCCTCCTGCTCTCCTGCTGCCCATAATGGAGACAGATATCAAGGTTACAAGCAGGAAGGATGCCTAGACAATTAGGAAAATATGGCTGCCGCAGTTGACATTTCTGTTGTTTTCTTTTTCACAGAATAGGGAATATCAAGTCAATACAGGTCAATATCAAGTGTGGATCAAAATATGATCACATCCCACTCTTCCACCAACACAGAAACTCTCACAAATTCATCTGGCTGAGATATGGCTTGGACGAGTGCACCCTCAGCAACTGTTTCAAAAAATGCTTCTTGAAACTTCAGGGATTATTTTTCATTTAATATCCATCAATTTGCTAGCTAAATCTGACTCTGCTTAGATTTATGTCTGCACCCAGAAATGGCTTTTTTCCAGACAGCTTCTATGGCCTGTTTACCACCCTTTTTGTTAACAGTTTGGCTGCTTTGCTTCTACTTCAAAAATTCATTCTCATGTGCAGGTTGGTTTTTTTTCTGATTTTGGTTTTTTGTTTTTGGTTTTGTTTTGTTTTTTTTTAAATTTGCTTTGGTTGCTAAGGGGGAAGCTTTAGCATGGTAGGCAAGGATTTAGTCACATGTGGGATAGAGGGAACATTATCCCTAGAGATTAATTTGGAAATCAAGTGACAATTGGCAGGGTATGTGTTTATTTCTATTTCTTGAAAGCTTTAAAAGTACCACAGGACTTTTGCATCCTCTGAAGGAGTTCTATTTTTTCCTGTTCTATATTACTCAACCTCAGAGACAACAAAGAGTATCATGCTTGTCTCCAGTGTCAGAGATAAAATTAGCAATTTCACTGCAAATCAGAAAACTAAGTAGATCATTATGAGAACAACTTTACACTCATGAAAAGGTTGTTTCACAGCCACCTTTGAAATGTATTAAAGGCAGCTGCCTCACTGTGAAGTTAATTCAATAAGCAGTGGGAATACAATTCGTTTGGTACATACTGTTTGCTAATCAAAGAGTATTTCTTGGCATCTAAACTGTGTCTGACAGAATGTTAAGCCTGAAAACATATTGTTAGTCCTCAAAGTTTTTCATCAAATTCAAGAAACATAACATGCAGTCATGCAAGCCGTCTTTCTTATTCAAGCAATGAAGGTGAATGATGCGTTATATACATTTGCAATTACGAGCTGTGGTCCTAAGAAGAGTATACAACAAATGGCTTTTGCCTCTTGTATTTCTGCACAAATAGAAATCTTGATGACTTTATCATTTCTCCTTATTCCAAATTATTGTCTCCACAGACCATTACCTAAGATGATAACAAACCTGTGAGCAAGCATTGTCAGTAAAACCCAGTCCTGGTACATCTTCTACTGAACTCAGAAACATGAAACTTTTCTTAATCAAAGTTTCCGTGTGTCTCCCATCTTGCCTATCTGTGCTATGGGGAACAGGCTGAGAAAAAACATCACCTCTCCTTCTGAAATATATCACCTTAGGAGACTTCTCTACTGCAGTTTGAACATGTAGACCTCCACCACCACATGCAGCTGCAATGAAAACCTATTAAACCAAACAGCTTGGCTATGGAGGAATATTTCTTTCACAACATGAGCTACAAAACAGCAGAAAGGGGCATGGACTGCTGCACAGTGTCTGCTTGCAGTTTTCCTGGTCTGATGAATGCTGCAGCTGAGAAACCAGGTTCTTCCTGCAAGGTGGATACTGCTTTTCAAATTGTACGTAATCTCATGACTAACAACTTCAGACATCAAAACCTTGTATGTTTTTTTGGATCCAAAAGGACCTTAACTTTGCTTTATTTTCAGAATTAAGTCAATACATAAGTGAAATGGCTACTCTGCAGATGGCAGAAATAGAGACAGCTACAAGTTATGTCTGAAAATGCCAAAGGAAACATTTCTGCAATGTAGTATTTAATTTAGGGGGGAAAAAACCCACACCAGAATTACTTGAAAAGTTCAATCATATTCCACATTTGCATCCAGATCTTTCAAAATTTAGTGTGAGGGAAAAACCCCGTCCAAATATGGTTACAAAACTGCTGCTAAAAGCAAAATAATGCATTCTTAATGAAGAGCTCTTCCCCAGCATTACTTGATAAGCAGAAAATAGCATAAAATGTATGAAACTATGCAGCAACTGGCAACAAAAGCACATATGTTATCTACCTGGACACAATAATTGTGTATTTATTTGGTCTGTGCATTTATTCTGAAAAGGACAGAATAATCTTTATATAAAAACTAATTATGAGACAGTTCAAAGTAACAAACGGTACAGCTGGAACGTATGAGCTGGCTTCTAAGTTACTGCAACATTAATGTAGTGAGATTGAAGTGAATTCTGTAAATTCTACTAACTGTGCTGCATCCTTTAATTGCTCATCTATTTATTTTTTAACAGGATCATCATCAAATAAGGATCAGTTCTGAGTCTACTTTTAGACCAGTTAACAATATAGAAGCTCAGTTTCTGTGTTAACACACATTCAAAGCCTGTGTTTTTCTACAGTGTATTTTAGTAATAAAAATACAAATAAAAATTTAAAATAAGATGCCACACATAGAAGACTAAATATTAGTTTTAGAGATAGCTTTAAAGATCCCTTTCTTTTGCAGTAGTCAAAAGTTATGCAAATAAGGAAAAAAAATATATTCATGCAGCAGCCATTGATTACGCATTTGGAGCTCATGTGAAAAATCTCAATTGTAGTTTGGAAACAGCATTAACAGGTATTCCAGCCCAATTATTTCAAGTTATAAACTCAAAGTTTGCTGTAGAGAAAGGCTTACTAAGAGTTCAAAAGCTCAAGTCATTCAGAGCTCAGACAAACATATCCACAATCCACTTTAAGTTTTTAGTTTTCTGAACAGCTTTAAGGAAGCACATTATGAGTCAGAGAAGAACAAAAGGGTTTTTCAATGGCTGTTCTACTGATGCAGCAAGTTTTAAAAAGAACCTGGTAGTTTGTTTGATCTTGCTACTTCATGGTCTAAAGAACACTCAGAAAGATGTTTACCAGAGAAAATAAATCCCCAAACAACAAAGTAGAGCGTTTAACAGTGAAATCCATGAAGTATTGCAGTAGAGAGAATTGCTCTTCAGACTCTGCAGAAAGGGAGATCCCTAGTCCAATGGACTTATAAAAACGTGAAGGATATACAAACAGCTGCAAGTGCAGTCATACAAGCACTTCTGAATCATATTCCAGTGCTTATAAAACCTTCTGTGTCAGTGTTTTACCATTTCAGATAAAGTTTTTCCTTGTTTTTTCAAGTTAACAGTCACTTGGGAGAGCTGCCATAAAAATGGCTCAATCTTTCTCAAAAATGAGGCATGTTTTCTTTTGCAGGTTGTAGTGTCACAGGCACTGCGTCATTCATCTCATACAGAAGAGGACAGCGTTCCCAATAGACCTTCCTGGCACAGGCACATCCATGCAGAGAGCAGAGCATTAGAAGGCCATTGACCCCCAGCATAAATTTTTTACACTCTGCAACCCTTCCTTTTTTTTTTCTTTTCTTTTTTTTTTTTCCTTTTTTTTTTAAGGGAAAAAATAGCTCTTGTGTCTTGGCATTAAATTTCACATTTCCTACAAAGTTGGCAAGAACAGTCATACATATATGCCTTTAAGCTGAAAACTTGCTGTGATTTATCAAAGTCAGAATGGTATAAATAACGCATGTCTTGCGCAGACTGCTTTTTTTGTAATCTAACAACTAATGGCCTGTCAACACAGTATTCCATATACAGAGACTCTACAGTGGTCTATAGTCTCATTTCTGTATGATAAATGAAGGCTCCTTTGGAGGCAAACTCACTCTAACAGTGTCCTAATATCTTTGATATAATGTGTGATGCTATGCAGAGAGAAAAGCTGTGCATCTTTAAGGTATGTAAAGGTAGCTAAGGAACCAAATTCTGCAGTTTCAGGCTTCAATCACAAGAAAAAAAAATTAAAAAAATAATCTACCCAATACCTGAACCTGATGCATAAATAAAAACTTAAATGATCTAGATCATTCAGATAGATTTGTCCACATCAGTAAGGAAATCCAAGACAAGATGTTCAGTGCTCATCATAAGAAACCACCTTTGAAAAACCAAATGGAAAAACCTGCACTCAGAAAAAAAAACAAAAAACAACAAAACAAAACCAAAAAACCAAACCAAACCAAACAAACTCAACCCCAGAAAGAAAGAAATAAAAAAAAAAGCTAAACCAATCCCAATTACACAATATGTTATTAGGCTTTAGAGCAAACTTTCATTTCAAGATACAAAACCTTGTCTTTCAATGTGTATCTCTAAATATTTTAAGATTATGCACAAGTTCTGACTAACCCACGGTAAAATGGAGTTTCTTTAAAAGGAATTAGAAAAGCAGCATTACCAAACACACACATTTAGCACAGCAGCATATGTTATGTCCCAGAAACTTACCTTTCTGTGATCGTTTCTCTGAGACCACTAGCAACCCCCTTCACCACCGTACTAGCCTTTGGTGTCAGCACTACTTGAGATATAAAGAAGGAACCTTTCTTTCTTCTTTCAGTGACTGATGCCTGGAGGAATTGAATCAGCTTTTCTGGATCTGTTGTGTTTGCCCAGGGAGCTGGCATCATCTGGCCTGGCCAAAGAAATGCTACCTCGAGAGCCACTGGACTGTGGTAGAACACCAGCACTTGGTGTTCCTTTTCCCACAGGTACTGGAGACTTACTTCATGGGCAAATATAGCAGGACACATTTTGTTTCCGTATGTGTCTTTGAGCATTTGGACAAGCTTTTCATGATGGTATTTCTGCATCCCGTAGAAGTGATTGAAATCCAAAAAGACCACTTCTTTTGGGTGGTCAGCAAGAAACGCATTGATCTCTTCCAGACCCTCCTTGACTTTGGCACTGAATAAACCATGAGCAAAGTAGAGCTCATTGTCTGGATCTCTGGGCTTGGTGGAAATTCTAAGATCAAAATACCGTATACCTGCCCCCAGCTGGCTGGTGAAGTTCATGGTCTGTGTAGCCAGCCACTTCCTCATCAGCTTTTTAGCCACAGTCCCAAAAACAGACACAAAATTCTGGACCGTCTCTGGCTGTTCAGGACCAACTGGAGAAGCTTCATCGATGTAAAAGCTAAATGAGTCATGAGAACCTAAAAACACAATAGAAGAAAACCATCAATATTGTATTCATATATTAAAAATCATTAGTGATTCTTCATAATTTTCTGACCTGTACCAACACTCACCAACAGACTCCTCCCCTGCCCTTTCTCTCAATATACTATATTTGTCTCTCAGCATTTACCACAACAGCACCTTGCAGGAACTTGAAGTAAACAGGCACTACTTCCACGGCTTGTATGGTCACTTCCTTCCTTTATTCTCATTCTTATGCCTTTAAGGTCACTGAAGTCATTGGGGTCTGAACACCAAAGCAATCCTGGTGTAAGTCCAACAAACCTAGTCCCATAATAAGTCCCCTAGAGCCAATGAAAAGAGGAGAGTCGGGCCTTGCACACTGAATCATGCACTGTGTAGTTCACAGAAACAAAGAAAAAAAATTAAAACAACTAAAGAAACCCCATGAAACAAACCAGTAGCATCATAGCTGGCTTAACATCACAGCTAAAATATGAGTTGAAAATGTCAAGACCACGTAACCTTTCTAACCTTATCTTTATTTCAAGTCTCATCAACAAGGTTACTGGATGCAGTTTCCCTTCTTAAATTTACCTCAAATTCTTTAGTTTCCTTTACTACAAAAGTACAACAGATAAAGCCAAGGATAGCGCTGCGTGCCACTGATACAATACAGAAACTGCAATGCGTGCTCTCGACAAGAACAAGACGCAGTACTTAACATGCCTATGTACAGAAGTTACCGCTTTCCACAACAAAACAAAGACGAATAAAAATGTATGAGACACTTTGCTATGCAAAATACTATTTCTAAGGTACATCCATTAAAAAAAACCTCCACCACAAAACAACTTATCTTGCTCAGCATTCAGACATTTACATGAAAGCAGCTGATAAAGCTAAGGACATCAGCAAACTCATGATCATTCCCCTGTAAGGGTCATTGTCTTACTTTATGGAGAGGTGAGCTGACACTAGAAGATGCTTATCACCTTTGAATACCACTACCCTTCTGAACACTGATGGTGAAATCTGGCAGTTTATACAGAAATACTGTCTGGCTGCAGGCAGAGCCACAGTCCTGCTGTCCCAGCTAGAGGGATGCTTCTGGTCAGACTCACCGTAGCAAGGAGGTCTGCTCCAGAACTTTTGTAACACTGCTTTCAAAACTCCTTCAGTGTCAGCAGGACTCTATTTCAGAAAAGGACTATACCACTAGGCCCTCAGAGATCCAGATTCTAGCATCAAAATGAGTTCAGAGCACAGGTCTTGCCTGCTACTGATACTTTTGTAGGTGCCTTTAAAAATTACTTTCCAAAGCACGCATGCTGTGGCAAGTACCACATTAATGAAATCCTGCTAGTCAGTCATTCCTGATGGCAATGCTATTTTAACTGAACTGGAACAAACCCTATAAACTGAAGTGACAGCTATAACATTTTCTTCCTTAACAATAAATGAAGTCACAAAAAAATCATCTTAGACTCTGGCTTGGATTTGGCTTTGTTTAATCTGAGAAATGTCTTAAGGTTTTGTACAGCCCTGCTTTTCACGGCTGTCTCTTTGAACTGCCTTTTACTTTAAATATTAGATAAATTTTCCATTTTGATTAAGCTTTCTACTGCAAAGTGTTGCAGAGATAACATATTTCTTGCAGAAGCTGATTAGATCATGGAGTATCTGGTTACACACTGATATCCTGGGGGACCAGATCTGCATACAGAATTTTAACAGTAAAACAAATGATTAGAGCAATGACTTGTGTTTCAACAGTATTACAGGGAGATCAATGAGATACATTAAATGTTCTGCTCAATGTAACCTGCACTAATCTAGAAATCAAAGTAAATTGAGTCTTGCTTAAACCAAGGCATAGCTACTGATATTAACAAGGGATGGTTCTTGTTAACTCTCACATTGTCCATTGAAGCCCCCTTTATTTCGGTAGGATTTTAGGTCAGAATACATGTATAACCATGATCAACTGATTGCAGAGTAGGTTCAAAATGGTATTAAGATTAATTAAACCATTTACCCTTTTATGCCTGATCTACAGCCACTGACAGCCTGAAGTTGCAAAAGAAGTAGCTAATGTCAACCACCATGGCCAAAACTCAACAATGCCAATCACTACTTAAAATTACTTCAGTCAAGAGAGGCAGCACAGTTCTCAAAGCAGAAATCTAAGGGGAATAAGTTGTCAGCAAGTAGCTTTTAGCTACTGGTAATGCAAAACAGAGAAGAGAGGTTAGGGAAGTGGGAAACATCACAGTTAGACACTGACAGGATAGTTTAGAAAAGTGTCTTTTCTTAATTAAGGTCTTCATGCATATATTTGAGCCTAAAAATGGTGATCCTTCCACAGAAGGTACAGAGAAAAGCACACAGTGCACTGAGTATCTCCATGTATTGTAACCCATGGGAACATTCCCATTCTATATTGCCTCTGGGAAGTGGACTTGCAGGTTCTGTGTATCACAAAATCTCAGTGCTCGTTAAGACAGGATGCAGGCTACAGTCATGTTGTTCAGCCTGCAGAAAAGAAGACACAGGGGAGATGCCATAGAAGCCTTCTGGTACCTTCCAGGGGTCTAAAAGAAATCTGGAGAGGGACTTTTTACAAGGGCATGTAGGGATGGGACAAGGGAGAATGGTTTTAAACTGGAAGAGGGTAAATTTAGATTATAAGAAGAGAATTTTACTGTGAGGTTGGTGAGGCACTGGCACAGGTTGTCCAGAGAAACTGTGGCTGTTTTATCCCTGGTGGTGTTCAAGGCCAGGTTGGATCAGGCTTTGAGCAACCTTGTCTATTGGAAGGTACCCATGGCAGGGGGCTTGGACCTAGATGGTCTTTAAGGTCCTTTCCAAACTAAACCATCCTATGATTCTATGAAATACTAATGCATTGACTCCTGCAATCTTTGGAAAGTAGCAGTGCTTACACATTGGCTATCACAGTAGGAGATGCTGACCTGGTGTGTGTGACAATCTACCACAGAGGCTTCACAGAGCAACATATGGAGAAGCAAGGGGAGGGGAATTTACTTGTCCTATGCCAGGATGGAGGAGGTGAAGTAAGCTGATATTTCTTTTCTGTGCAAATATATTTTCTCACCAGTGCACTGTGTCCTGCACTTTCTTGAAATATGGCACACTTTTCCCACTATTTCAACAACACAACATGTTGTTGACCCAAGGAGTCAAACAGGAATGCTTGTCTATCAAGATCATGAGAGTGGCAAACAAGAGTAAACAAGGTGTGCGTATAGTACAGACTGCCCAGTCCAGAAGGGACAAAGTGGACAAAAAATCCTTTAACAGCTGAGAGAAGCCTTGTAATTACAGGGCTTGTTTTCATGGGGAACTGAGGTATTTGCTGGCAATCTGGAGAAAAAAGGCTTCATTTCTATAGGTATTCCTTTAATGAGACAAGGCACACTGCTGGTACAAATTAACGAAGAAATGGCTAGGGACATGAAGGATGTGGGGTGATACAAGAATTTAAAATACTGAGGAAAGCAAGAAAGGCAAATAGCAGATTGAAGATCCTGGATTTCAGAGCAGCCGTCTTTGCTTGTTCAGGAAATTGGTAAGTGGTAAGGAAACTGGTAAGCCTGCAGGAGAATTTACTTAAATGCCAAGGGGCTCAGGAGAAACTGGTGAACTTGAAAGATAATGTGTCTAAAGTATATGGACAATGTGGAAGAAAACAAGGAGGTAAGGCAGAAGGCAAGTTTAGCAGCATGTATAACTCCTAAGTGACCTTAAACTTAGAAAGCAATGTACAGAAGGTACAGGGTCCCTGGGAGGACAGGGTTTCTAGCTGGGGATCATCTGGCTAGACAGCAGCTCTCCAGAAAAAGATTTATTCACTTGGACATAAGTAAAAAATAAATTCCCCCAACACCAGTTAAGCCTGAAGTGGGAGCACAGTGGGGCTGGACTCTGTACCCCTGATTCTCATCTCCCACATCTAACTTGGAGTTAGCTCTGCTTTGAGCAGGGGATTGACCAGATGACTTCTTGAGATCCTTTCCAACATAAATTATTCTGTGTCTGTTCCCTAACCCCACCCCTGAAGATAAAAAAGATTTATTTCTTTTCTTTCAACCTTAGAAGCAATTATCAAGGGCCATTTAAAATGTCTGCACCAGCCGTGATCCAAAAAACAAAAAGTGGCCAGTTTCAACCACTGAGACATTAAATTTTCATGAACTTTGATGTGGCCAAACACTACTTGGATATTCAAGAGTAAATGTGCAGTATTACTTAGCTCACAAGAAAACAGCTACTTGTACTTTTGCTAGGGGAAACGATCTCTTGTTTTCTTTACTGAATTCCAGTAATAGGACAATTGGGAATATATAACCCACTACATTTAGCTATGGACATATTTATGGCTTCCTGGGGGGCTAACCCCCCATTTAAAAAATAATTAGGCTCAGTGCTGAAAAAAGTCCCTCAGGGAGAGTGCATTTCAGTCCAGAATCGTTTTTTCAGTCCCACAGAGATTTACACAGAGACACATTGAAGCTACTGTTTTTGATGGCTAAGCTTTAACTTATCATTCAGGCAAGTGTAGCTGAACTTCACCCTGCCCTCCCCTTGCCTCATTGTGGATCTGGCCATCCCTCATAACAGCCTGGTAAACAGCACCTAAAATAAAGGTACTAAATCGAACAGTGGTGCCCAACATGCTCCTGACAGTAGCAATCACACCCTGAAGATCCAAAAGTCACAGAAAAAACACAGACAGACAGAAGCAAAGTTTCACAAGTTTTGGCATGTTTTACTCTCTTCTTCTCCCACAGGCTGCAAGCTCCCCTTGTCTCTGTGCTGGGAGTTATCCAACAGCTGTTAGAAATGGACCGTTTACTACTGCTCTGGATGTCATTACAGGCTTTACCTGCTATTGTCTCCTACATTTAGGAGACAAAATCCACTGGTGACTATTGGTGAAATGTCGCATGCAGTGCAGCCTTGCTTTTTCAAAAAAACTTCCTTGTCAATT